GAGATGTGTCAGGGCAGCCACTCTGTGGACTCTTTGGGAGGAAAGGAATGCAATAATTTTTTTAGAGAAGGAAAGAGGGTTAGATGAAATGAAGGATTGTATCCTAAAAAGAGCAATCCATTGGCTGAAAACCGTGGATATCTTTGATGACTTCTTTGATGATTTGTGGAGAAATTGGCTAGTAATAGCCAACACTTCAACAAAGAAGGATAGAATTCTGTCAGAATGGGTTCCGCCTTTGAAAAGTGTCATTAAGCTGAACTTTGATGGAAGCAGCCAAGGCAATCCCGAGCCTTCAGGTATAGGGGGTATCCTGAGAAATAAGGACAGCAACATAATTTCCCTATTCTTAGGACCGGTGGGAGTGGGGGATTCCACAAGGGCAGAATTACTTGCTGCAATACAAGGAATTCAGATTGCCAACCAGCTTGGGGTGGAGCATCTCCTAGTTGAAGGGGGCTCTCAGGTGGTAACCAGGTGGCTCCTAAACTTGGATACCACCATTTGGGGCTACAAAAATCTCATCAAAAAAGTAAAGTGGTTAACCAACAATATGAGAGTGGAGGTAAAATGGGTTAGCAGGTCTGCTAATTCTTTGGCTGATGCTCTAGCCAAACAGGGGGTATATAGGGAAGATCTTTTTTGTGCTTCTATGTAAGTTATTATTAATTCAGAAATTTGAACTTAACTAGCCTGGAGAGGTTGCAACTCGTACCTTTCCATGAGGACTTTGTACAATTTTATTGCTGATTTATAAAATCATTTCAATTATCAAAAAAAAAGGAATCAAAGGACCTTCCATGGGAAAGAAAGAAATAAGGATGCCATCATTGAATCAATTTTATTAGGGTGGCTCATTGGGCTAAGACTATGAAGCTTTTTGAAGACTATTCAAAAGGAGACATTATCAGGAATTGGAAAGAAGTGGCTTAGTCAGCTCCAATAAAGACTGCATGTAACCCAGTTTGGTCTCCTCCAGCTTTGGGGTTCACTAAACTGAACTTCGATGGTAGCAGTGAAGGAAATCCAGGCTCATCAGGTATAGGAGGAGTTTTCAGGGATGAAGAAGGTCAAATTATTGCCATCTATTCTGGTTCTATTGGATGGGGGGATTCTCTAAGAGCTGAAATATTTGCTGTCTGGAAGGGGTAAAAAGAGCCCAGGAGCTGAATATCAGAAAACTGATGGTGGAAGGTGATTCTAAGCTGGCTATCAGTTGGCTACAGAAGGACGATTTCAGTTTGTGGAAGTATCTAAATGAGAAAAAGAAAGTTAAACAGTTTACTCAAAACAAGGAAATCAATTTTCAGTGGACTAAGGAGTGCCAATTCCTTGGCAGATTCACTGGCCAAACAAGGGGTGGGAAGAGTCAATTTATTCTGGGCCATATTGTAAATTGAAATGTACCTTTAGGGAGGGTTAAGAGATTTTACCCCTCCTCTTGTATCTTTTTCTCTTAATTTCTATTAATGAAAGTTTCTGTTAATTATCAAAAAAAAAAATGATTTGAACCCCAAAATTTCATATGAACTTCTGATTGGGAGTTGAAGGAAGCTTCTGATTTTCTCAGTAAACTACATAATCAATGCCCAAATAGAAAACATGACTGACTGTAGAAGGTGGAGGTGGGAAAGAAATAGTGTCTTTTAAACCACGGAAAAAAAAGGATGAATAAAAAGAAATGGTGTCTTCTCGGTTAAATATTTTGCTAAGAACCTAATTAACTCTAAAGGGGTGAACACTTTTCCTTATCATATAGTTTGGGATACCTAGCTCCTTCCAAAATGGCATTCATGACCTGGATTGTTGCTCTTAGAAAGTGCATTACTGGAGATAACCTTTCCAAAAGATGGATGACATTGCAAGCCGCAACATCTATCATCTGCATCCTTGAACTAGAGTTGGCAGACCATATATTTATTCACTCTCAACTGGCCAGCCAAGTGTAGAAGCATTTCCTTAAATTTGTTGTGCTCCTTCCCTACTTCAGTCATAGAGATGCTGGAAGGGTGGAGGCTGAAAAGTCTAAATATAAAAAGCAAATTGATATGTGCTTCCACCCCTAATCCAGTCATTCAGACTGTGTGGAAGGAAGGAAATATGAAGATCTTTGATGGAAAGTCTCATGGGTTGAGGAGATCATCAATCAGGCAGTGGGCAGGAGCACATCTTGGGTGTCTGTGCAAAACACTTTCTATGGGTTCAAATGAGATTTATTCTATCAGATGATTCAGATCAATTGGAGTATAATAGGACTTTATCTGTTAAAGGGACTGATGGTGTGAAGTGGGGGTGGGGCTTCTTTTATTACAGTCTCTTACTGTATTAGACTGTCCCTTCTATTTCTGATGGCCTGGTTGTAATCAGGTGTTTCCTTTCATCAATAAACTGTATTACCTTTCAAAAAGAACCCTAAACTGCTCAAAAGTAACACCAAAATCCTTACAAGGAAAAGAATGTACCAAGTATATTCAAGTCCTTCACCAGGGGCTTCAACCACACAATGAGCTCCAGCAGCCATGGCAGGAGACACATATGCACCTACTCCTATTATACTTGAACTGGTGCCACCAGGTGCACCCACGGTGCTCAATGCAGGACCACTGTTGCCAGCACTGCTGATAAATACAAGGCGGTGTTTATTTACCACCTACACTTAAAATTGTCAGTGCCATCTACACTTCTACAAAATTTCTGAAGTTGGTAAAAATACATAAGAGACAAGGGAAGGAAAAACAGGGAAAAGCAAAGTGCATTGATAATCAGCCAGCAAGCACAAGTTGAAAAGCATGGAAACTATACTTCATTTAGAAGATCAACAAAACGCCCATAATCTGGAAGTAGTGTAGGCTCTCCATAACTCATATTGATGAGATCACATTTGTGCTGCAAATTACAAGATATAACAGCTTATTAGCAATCATTAGGTTTACAATGGATAATTAGGAATCATTACACTTATGAAATTTCTTAAATAACCCAATTCCTAAGTTCCTAACTTAATTCATGTTTATTTCCCCAGTCAATAACCAAGTACAATTTTGACAACACAATGGACAAGAAATGAAGAAATTACTGCTATATCAAAATGTTTAACTTTCAAATGAAGTTAATACAAACAACTCCAAGATATGGAAGGGCCGTTACTGATGACCTCCTCCATGAAACAATTTGCTCTTTCAAAGCACTGCATAAAGCTCATTTAAAACTATTATCAATAAAAAAACGATTTTCATTATCAATAAAGTTATTGGGTAAAGAATTGAAGTGCCTGAGACTCTTACAAGAACGACCTGCGAAGCATTCAGGAGGGGCGGGTATAACAGAATTGTAACAGCAGTATATAAATGTTGCAGACTGTTAATTAAAATAGGAAGTAAATACTAGGGAGATATGATGTTACAGACTGTATAATTAAAATAGGAAGTAAATACTAGGGGAGATATGATGTTACAGACTGTATAATTAAAATAGGAAGTAAATACTAGGGAGATATGATGTTACAGACTGTATAATTAAAATAGGAAGTAAATACTAGGGAGATATGATTTACCTTGATTGTAGGACTGATTTGTAGGAATTTAATTAGTCTTCTTTCCTAACATAGAATTTGTAACTTGTATATATACATTACGAGATTGATGAATAATATAACAAATTCTTCTTCT